CAAAATTGAGTTAAATCCATAATCTCTGTGGATGTGCTTTTGACTTGCACATAAGGAAAATCATGCAGGCAAAAGTGAGGCAGCTTCACACACCATATTGACATTCAACAAGGAGAAGGTCAGAGCAGGGAGTTGATGTTAGTATGTTCATCCCAAACTGCAATAAAGCTGTCTCAGCAACTGCAATCCCAGCTGCTGTTTGCTGCTTTTGGGTAAGAAATGCACCATTCAGACCTTCAGCTCCTTTGTTATGAAAATACCATGATTTAACAAAGGTTTAATTGTTTTTCAACCATATTGATATAATCTAGATTTCACGTTTCAAAGATAAACATAAAATTGCCATACCAGATAGGGCTTTACTTGACAAAAAGACTAAGAAATGACAGCTGAGATTTCTAATTCTGCCACATGAAAATTACTGAATAATTGCACGAATGGTGTTATCGTTCTGAAAATCATAAAGTACATGTAGCTTTCCATTTTGTTTTCCACTATTTTCCTGGGGATATCACTAGCAGTTTTAAATGCTAGGAAAATGTTTTCCCTCTACCTTCTTTTCTGCCAAAGAGAGGGTAGACTATTATAGTCTGTTTTCCACCAGGGAAACTTCCTTAGAATGGGCAAAATCTATGTCCACAAACGTGCTTCCCCAGGTTAGAAAGGTTCTACAGTTTGCGGGTTTGGCAGCAAAGAAACAGTAAAGTGGGGGAAGGCAGGACCTTTCTATAGGTCCTTATTTGAGAGAGACCCTCTCCATGATAAATCATCCTGGAACAGATGTTCATTAGTCATATTTCTGCTCCCAACTGGTGACACCAGAGCCAGGTGATATATGAACCCTTCTGAAGACAAGGAAGGAATGAAAGAATCAGCAAGTGGAGTCCACAGTGACCTCAACAACTACAGGGTTTACATACTTTATCTCTGGCAGACCCACTCAGTGTCAAATTTTTACAAGTCAGCTCTGAAAAAATTGGGGACTTCCCTGGCAGTCCAGTGGTTAAAGACTCCGCTTCCCAATGCAGGGGGCATGGGTTTGCTCCCTGGTCAGGGAACTAAGATTCCACATGTCTTGGAATGCAGCCAAAAACTGAAGGAAAAAAAAAAAAAAAAAAAACAGAAAGAAAGAAAAAGATTCTGAGAAAATTGGAGAATTTAAAAAATTAAGACCTATTTCACAAGGATGCATTCCTATCTAACATTCAGTACAACCAATTTAAAATTTATATTGATCTTCCATGCATTCCTGAGGGCTTTGACAGAGTGACCTGCCAGAGGCCATTAGCACGCAGCCTTCACAAATGGAGAGGCGGCAGCATTCTGACTCACTGGGAGCCAGACTGGCAGTTGCACTCACTCAAATCATTTGACAATTAACAAGCTTCTCTGCACCAGGAATTGTGGTCACTTCCCTTCAGAATAGGATCTAGGAAACAACTTGAAGGGATCATGATCTAAAGAAAGATCATACTTTGATGTTGGGTGGGATTATGCAAATAAGAATGAGAATAGGGTGCTTTAGTGCTGTCAGAATGTGCTGCGGTTTATTTGAGAAATGAGACAAAATCTTCCTATGATCAGCCACTCCATGTGACATCCCAACCCACACTCTGCTACTGACATTTTATCTCCCACTGAACAGCCCGGCTGTTGTAACATTTTCAGGAGTCTTAATTTATGTCTTGCAGAATCTAAAATCAGATGGCAGGAACTTTAAGAAAATAATCAGTGTTGACAGGCACCTTTATACTTCAAGAAGCTGGTACACCTTAGTGCTGCTAAAAGCTGGGGGATGTTCTCTACCTTTTTCTTCCAAAATATGTCTAGAAGACAGTTGGGTTAGAGCTAGGGAGCTGTCCCAAATCATTAAATTTCTCTTCTCAGTCTAAACTCCATGAAAGACCTTTCTTTTCACCCAGTATTAGCTAACAAGCTCATTCTCCTTTCGTGGTATGAGTGACTCCAGGATTTAATAATTTAGTTAACTTAAATAAGAAAAATTAATTGAGATTTTTTTTAATTTTAATTTTTTGGAACTATATACTATCATTTTATCAGAGGCTCAGTCATACATTTGATAATGTAAGAAACAACAGTTTTGTAAAACAGGTGAAATACAAGTAACTTAGCTAGCAGTATTAGTAAAGTCATAAGTAAGAATTAAGCCAAGAACCCCCATTAGGTACAGTCTAGTATATCTGAAGCTGTCTGACTTAGTCTATTCGGTACCAATCCCTATATTTGGGGGGAAATTTGGATAGGGAGATGCCGCTGGGTTTGCCGATGAAGTCCTGGTGGTGCAGCATTCTTATATGTAGCCAAGAACCATGGAAAAGTAACTCAAAGGTAAGATCAGCAATGTAATGTGTGTAACTGTTGATTCTCAGAACACTAGTGAGGGAAGATATTCTAATGATGATGATTCCTACTTTATAGAAGAGAAAGTGAGGCTCAGAGAATGTAAATAACTAGTGGCAATCACTCAGCCTTAAAGAAACTGTAACTCAAAACCAAATCACGTGTTCTTTCTATCACAATGCTGCTTCATAAAAGTAGTTGACTTTGGACTGGTTGGCCACATGAATATTCTAAAACCTTTGCTCTTTAGAGTCTCAGCAATGCTGAACACTTGGGGCTCTTGGGCTTACAGCTGCCAAAGCTGGGATGTGAGTATACATCCTAGCTCTGGAGTATTCACCCTGCATCTGCTTCTTCTCAGAGTGGAGTTATATCTACTTATCTATTGTGTGTGCGTGTTCAGTTGCATCTAACTCTTTGTGACCCCATGGACTGTAGCCTGTCAGGCCCCTTTGTCCATGGGATTCTTCGAAAGGCAAGAATCCTGGAGTGTGTTGCCATGCCGTTGTCCAGGGAATCTTCCTAATCCATGGATTGAACCTGAGTCTCCTGCATCTCCTGCATTGCAGGCAGGTTCTTTACTACTGAGCCCCCGGGAATGCCTCCTGCTTTATCTATTATGTAGTGTTTAAGGTGTCTCAGCAGCTTAAGCTGCCCAGGTTGTCTCAGTGGTAAAGAATCTGCCTGCCAATGCAGGAGATGCAGGTTCAATCCCTGGGTTGGGAAGATCCCCTGGAGAGGGAAATAGCAACCTGCTCCCGTATTCTTGCCTAGGAAAGAATAGGACAGAGGGGCCTGGTGGGCTACAGTCCATGGGGTCACAAAGAGTTGGACACGACTGAGCAACTGAGCAGCCACAGTGCTTAAGAGTACAGATTCTTGAGCCAGATGACTGGCTCTGCCACTCACTGATAGCTGACCTGGGCAAGTTACTTTTCTGGGCCTCATTTTCCTGTCTAGTAAGATGGAGATGATAATGTTCCAGGAAGGGGGACCCCTTCCAGGGCCCGGAATTGGACTCTTGTCTAACACTCGGAAATGAATTGTCCGAGGAGACACATGTGCTGACAAAGCAAGAGATTTTATTGGGAAGGGCACCCGGGTAGAGAGCAGTAGGGTAAGGGAACCCAGGAGAACTGCTCTGCCACGTGGCTCGCAGTCTAGTTTCTGGGTTGTCTTTAGCCAGTCATTCTGACTCAGAATCCTTCCTGGTGGTGCATGCCTTGTTCAGCCAAGATGGATGCCAGAGAGAAGGATTCTGGGAGGTGGTCGGACATGCAGTGTCTCCTTTTAACCTTTCCTGAACTCTTCCAGTTGGTGGTGGCTTATTAGTTCCGTGTTCCTTACCAGGACTTCCTGTCCTAAAACAACTCATGCAAATGGTTACTATGGTGCCTGGCCAGGGTGGGCGGCTTCAGTCAGTGTGCTTCCCCTAACAATAATAGCACCTATATCTCATAGGATTGTTGTAAAGCTTAAATGAGTTTATTTATGGAAAATGTTATATACAGGTTAGCATCACCCATCAGTTTGCCACATGCTTTCATGAATGCACTATAAATGCACTTATAACACACTTGTGAAAACCTCTGGTTAGATGATAAAGCCAAGACAGGCTTTGTTTTATTCCAGGAGGCAGGAAACTATGAATTGTATACTCCTTTTATACAGTACATTTCATGTAGTGGAGATTCTAAAGACATTTTAAAACTGAACTGGATACTACCAGAACTGAAAGGGGTAGTCCTGTTCTTTCAGGCTCAAGCTCCAGATTTTTCAAATATTTGGGCCACCTCTCCTCCACTCCCCACCTCATTTATCTCCAAGGGCAGAGCCCAGAGAAAGGATGAATAATCAGTTCCCATAAAGCTTAGGCAAGAGTAAAAATCAGCTCTGAGAACTGTGCAAAATTTATGTCCCTGTGCCTTAAGTTCAAACGAAATGTAGATGTATTTCCTCTACATAAAGCTCAGGAGACTATCTTTATACATTGATATTATTGGGGCGAAACCCCAACAGCTTGCAGGAAGTGTTTCCAATTTTTCTTATTTGTTCGACACCGCTCCTAGATTGCCAGAGAAGCCTAGCTACAGGTGCATACTCCTGGGCCAACCGAGTGAGAGCTGGACGCTTCACGAGGTGACCTAGGTAGGGGAGGAGTTAAGATTGGGAAAGGTGGAGAACTGCCCGGAAGCACGGGCTCTCGGGGAGGGAAGGCGGGTAGTCTTCCCGCCCCGCCCCTGCCGCTCTAGGCCCCGCCCCGAGCCCGTCCCCTCAACCCGGACAAGTCCCTCAGCCTCGGGCTAGGTCTGCGGGGCGCTTGCGCAGTTCTTAGGGCGTCCTGGCACTGCCCGACTCTGTTTAACGTGAGGGAAAGAAGGACGCTCGTACTTTCTGCACACCGTGCAACAGCGGCTTTCCGCCGTAGAGCTGGGTTTTGCCTTTTTGGCCCTGAGAACCCGGCTTTTTGTCCCCTTACGTGGCTTAAGAGGGCACGTTTTCAGTTAGGCGGTTCCCGGGCAGCCCGCCTTTTGACGCAGGGTCCTTAGGCTGAGACTTCGGCCCACACCCGGGAAGGCGGGGTCCTTCTCTGGGGCAGTCGCGCGGGCAGTGGCTGCGGGAAGTCTACACGGGGCGTCATGTATTATAAGTTCAGTGGCTTCACGCAGAAATTGGCTGGAGCATGGGCTTCCGACGCCTATAGCCCTCAGGTAAGGGTCGTGCGGCGCCGGTTGGGACAGGAGAAGTAGCGGCCCGGGTCTCATGGTGCTCCTGGCAGTCGCGGCACCCGAGCCAGGCGAGGCTTCTGCCTCGGTTTTCTTGGCCCCTCATCTCTTCTCACCCACTTGCCGCAGCCATGGAGCTCCTAATTCTGTAGCTGCTCCCCTGGCTAGCTGGTGTCTGGTGTGGAAGTTGTGCTTCTCACTCAGTAGGAGTCAAGGTGACTCCCGAGGTCGTTGCTTATGGGTCGTGGGGGTGGCTCGTGGGGCCAGAATGGGACCCGACAGAGTCCGAAGTTTGGCCCTGCCCTTTTAAAGGAGAACCAGCCTTTCAGGCGCCTCAGTGTTGCATTGTGACTGTCCTGCTGCAGCCTAAAACGCAGGTTCATCCATTCAGCAGATTTGGGAGCTGGGGTGACGGCAACAACGGAAGCCATAAGGACAGGAGGGGCTGTGTGATCAGAATTAGGACACTTAGTTAATTCACATGTTTGGGTGAGTCTTCGTAGTTACGTGCAAAGAGCTGACATTTTCCCAGCTGTAAAGTGGTTGACGGTTGCTTTTGAATGGTTCGGAAAGTATTGCGATTTCGCTCAGAAATTTTGCCTGAGCGAATTGAAGGATCAGTCTCCAGCTTATAGTGTAGAGGTGAAGGACTTTTAGAGTCCCAGATTCTTAATTTAGGCTCAGGTCTTGGTTTAGCTGCTTTCACTTTATGACCTTGACCAAATCAATTCATTGTGAGCTCAGTTTTCTCTAGAGCAGCTGTAATACAGATTAAATGAGGTGTGTGTCAAGTGACTAGCAATCGTTGGCAGGTGGCTGTTACTGGATAAGCTGTTCTCTAGAAACTAGGTCTGAGATGCCATCATTTTCATTCCTCATCCTCAGAGTAGGTAGGCAAGGGTTGATGAGATGCATTTGGAAAACTGGATAGAACCATAAGGGCCCCAGGTGGGATGTAGAGAATGCTCTATCCTTACCTCCTCCTCATTCTGTGAAACACTGCAACTTGCTCAAGGGAGAGATGTTTAAGAATGATTGCAGTCTAAGAATAGATAACGCTGTTAATGGGGCTTCCCTGGTGGCTCAGCCCTAGAGAGTGTCTGCAATGTAGGAGACCCTGGTTGAATCCCTGGGTCAGAAGATCTCCTGGAGAATGAAATGGCAACCCACTCCAGTATTCTTGCCTGGAAAATTCCATAGAAGAGGAGCCAGGCGGCCTGCAGTCCATGTGGTGCAAGAGTTGGACACCAATTAGCGATTAAACCGCCACAGGATAGGGAGGGCAAGAAAAAGGGCAAGTTTTTTTGGGTTGTGGGGTTGGGGAGTAAGGGTCCAGATTGAGCTCATGATAATATGTCGTGTCTGGTTGCAGCTGGGTTTATGAATATGAAGTTTAATAGATCTAGGTGTCTTCAGCCCGTAGGTGGTAGTAGAAGCTTTGGTGGGAGAGATCATCCAGGGAGTACATTAGGAAAGAAAGATGTAGTTTTGATCAGATTGCAGAAACATGAAGGGTGAGTGGAGGAGGAAATTTTTTTTTTCCATTTATTTTTATTAGTTGGAGGCTAATTACTTTACAGCATTGCAGTGGTTTTTGTCATACATTGAAATGAATTAGCCATGGATTTACATGTATTCTCCTGCCCTCCGTCTTCCCTAGCATCAGGGTCTTTTCCAATGAGTCGGTTCTTTGCATCAGGTGGCATTGTATTGGAGCTTCAGCTTCACCACCAGTCCTTCCAATGAATATTCAGGGTTGGTTTCCTTTAGGATTGACAGGTTTGATCTCCTTGCTGTCCACAGGACTCTCTTACCTAGTAAGAAACTGTAAAATTTTAAACTAAAACTGACAATCCTGAAATTAAATTAGCACTTTGAGCAGATATTACCCCAAGATGCATTTGGTACAGATAAGGACTTCAGAGTTCTAGCATTACTTGAATTGGTGTTTCTCTTGAGAATTTGAACTTCTTAGTTTCTTAAGGATTTCTTAAGTTATGTTGAAAGAAACAATATTGTGAGGGTTTATATGAATTGTAGACTTCAGAGTGATTGTTACAGATCTCCCCAAACCAAGTATTCTGACTTTGGTTATTAGGAGTACTTCAATTTTTCCTTTCTTGAAAACACTTAAAGTTTAAAATTTTGTAAATGTAAGTTGATGTTTGTAATTTTCAGTGTTATGTAAAGTGAATAATATGCATTGAGTAACCTAATAATGGAAAAGCTAGTTCTCTAACAAAAGTACAGGTAGATTTTTAAGTCAACATGATGGCAAGTGATTGTGGGGAGGGTATTTTCCAGTGATTGAGTGAAAAGCCTTTTCCCTACTTCTCTGTGTCCTGTGTCAAAAAGAGAGGCCAATAAGCATTTGGAAAGATATGCTTTTAACATCATAAGTCATTAGAGAAATGAAAATCGAAACCACAAGGAGATTCCTCTTCACACCTGCTTTAAAAGAAATAAAAAAAGACAGCAGAATGTGAGAATGTGAAGAGACTGGAACTCTACTACATTGTGGTGGGAATGTACAATTGTACAGCCTCTTTGGAAAACAGTTTGGCATTTTCTAAAACAGTGAAGCATAATTTTACCATATGATCCAGCAGTTCTTCTCGTTAAGATGGTAGGATATTCTAGGTTAAGGGAATTGCGAGAATGAAGGGGAAGAGGGGGGCTGCAAGGGAATCATTGGGTAGGTCATTTTGGCTGTTCTGGATGGAGGTAGAACGTGATGGAAGGACTTTTGTGAGACATGAATAGGAATTTACAAAGCAACTGGATGTGGAAAGTTGTGGTCGAGTCTTGTCCAGAGGTTGAAACAAGGGCATGCGTCTTCCCTTTAGTTTCACGAAAGGTTGATGATGACGGAGTGTGTATCATGATCAGAGCTGTGTTTGAAAAGATACTCTGACTGGGAGAGACCAGTGCCAGGGATGCCTGTTACAGAAGAGTTCGGAGTCTTCTCAGTAAGAGTAGAGGGAGAATCAGAGGTCTGGAGGATGAGTACTTAGCACCCGCTGAAGGAGATTTTGGAAATGAGGAAGGAGGACTTCAGGATGACTAGGTAATGGAAGAATGGCGGTGCTTTCCACAGAAACAAGGATGTTTCTGTGAGAAACAGCCTGGTGAATTTTGAACATTCTGGGTGTGAAGTCTCCAGGAAATGGTGGTGATACCTAGCTGGCAATTAGAAATGGAGGACTCGATCACTGCGGATTGAAACTTATTTGTGGTCCTAAATCAGAATGAAAGCACTCCTAGGTTTCTGTCATTTAAAAATTAAAAAATTTTTGGAATACTCTTATTTCTCCACCTTCTTCCTCTTCTTCAAACCTAAAAGATAAAAGGAAAACTTTGGACCAGTCAGTTTTTAGGTGAAAAAAATCATACTTTTTAAAAGTAAAAATTTGGAGCAGCTAAAATAAACTAGGAAGAACTCAGCTATGAAATGTGGTAACAGGTGAATAGCTCTTCATCAGTTTTAGGAGTAGTGATTGTGTATGTAAATAGCTGAGATTCGATACTAAGCAAAAGCTGTGATTTCTACTTGGTCACCAGTCCGCTTATTTTAAGAACAGCTTTCAGTTTTCTTGTTGCTCTGGTCTGTGTGGGAGGCTCTACCATCAAGTGCTAATTTTCATGACTTTGGTTCTGAAACATGCAAGTTTACACTGCATTGAAACTTCAGGCTTCCTTGGTTTATTAGTACATTCAACAAATATTTACTAAATGTGTTCTGTGCCAGTTGCTTTTCTCAGTCTTGGGAAGTAAGAAAAGTGAAAAAAATATGCCTAAATCCTGCCCTCATGGAGCTTCCATTGTAGTAGAGAGAGTGATAGTGTGTTAGATGGTCATAGTGCTATGGAGAAAAATAAGGCAGGGAAGGGGAGAGATGGAGCGGGACATGCAGTGTTTAAAAACGGTGGTGAGGGGAGGTCTCACTGAGAAGGCCACATGAGGTGAGGGTGCATGCCATGTAATCACCTGGAGAGAGCTTTCTAGGCAGAGGGAACATGCCTAGGGCTTGGGAGGCGTAAAGGGCTTTTCCGGAATTCTGGGGAGGAGAACGAGGATGGTGTAAAGTGGGGGATGGTGAGGGGTGCATCTCATGGGGTTCTGAATGTCCTTTCAAGTACATTGAGCTTTTCTCAGGGGGATTGGAGGCCTTTGGGAGGGTTTGAGTTAAGTAGTGACAACCTCTGTTTTAACACCATTACTGGTTGCTGCATTAAGAGTGGACTGCAAGGCAGGAAAGATGCAATGGAAGCAGGGTGAGCACTTAGGAGGCTGTTGTAAAAATCTAGGAGTTTGGACCAGGATGTGTATTGGTGAAGATAGGTGAGAAGTGGTCAGGTTCTAAATATAATTTGAGTGCAGAACCAAAAGTATTTTCAGACGTGTGAGTGAACGGTGTGAAGAACAGTTTCACGGTTTTTGGCCCAAGCACTGGAAGGATGGTGGTGTCATTTATTGAGAGGAGGAGGGCGCATTGGAGGCTCATAATTCTAGGCTGGGGCAGCCATAGCCCTGCAAGAGACGGAGGTGAAGGGATTTGCTGTAGGTCCCTTCCTGTAAATACAGCTTCCTGGTCTGCTCTTGAGAACCCTAGCGCTAGTCTTACCTAGCTGCCTTGAGACACTTCAGTTGTTGGGAGGTTTAATGATGGGTAGGGTGAAGTACTTACCATTCTTTTTGCCTTTGGGGCCAAGACAGCTTATTATTGGTAGTATGGTTTAATGAACATGTGTGGGTTTGAACCTCATCTTACTTACAGTGTTTCTGAGCTTTGTTTTAATCATCTGTTATTTGGGCTGATAATACTTAATTTATGGGGTTGATGTGAAGAGTAAATTTAGTTATAAAGATTGTATAAGAACCTGAAAAGGCGCTTATTACAAGTGAGAAAAGCAGAATGTGGGGTTTTGCAATGTGACTATAAAGATTAAAATATGCTTATGAAAAACAGATTGTAGAATATACATTTCACAGTAAAATTTCAAGCCATTTTGAAAGTTGCGTGGTATGCTGCTGCTGCTAAGTCGCTTCAGTCGTGTCCGACTCTGTGCGACCCCATAGACGGCAGCCCACCAGGCTCCCCCGTCCCTGGGATTCTCCAGGCAAGAACACTGGAGTGGGGTGCCATCGCCTCCTCCAGTGCATGAAAGTGAACAGTGAAAGTGAGGTCGTTCAGTCGTGTCCGACTCTCAGCCACCCCATGGACTGCAGCCCAGCAGGCTCCCCCGTCCCTGGGGCTCTCCAGGTGAGAGGACTGGAGTGGCTGCCATTGCCTTCTCTGTGCTTGGTATGAAGTGTTTTAAAATGTTTGCAATTTGAGGGGAAGTGGTCATTAGGAGAAAACAGAGAGTTCACAGAATGGTAAAGGAGCGTCTCACCTCTAGCTTAAAGAGATCTTTTCTATAGCCTTGTTATCTCAGTAGTTGGAACTCCTGTTCTGTCTCTGCCTCCTGAGTCTGAGTGTGTTATAGGCCAGAGGCAGACCAGCAGCAGGCAGGCTTTCTCTTTAAGCGCTGTTTTTGAGCAGTAGTTGGCAGAAGGTAGCACAGGCAGGTAGTACTGAAATGCCAGGGCTTTGGGCTTGAGTCTCCACACTTGGGCCTTTTTTTTTTTTTTTTTTAAATTTATTTCTTTTGGCTGTGCTGGCTCTTCACTGTTGCTCGGGCTTTTCTCGAGTTGCGGTGATGGGCTACTCTCTAGTTCCGGTGTGCGGCTTCTCATTGTGGTGCCTTCTTCTGTTGTGGCGCACAGGCTCTAGGGTGTGTGGGCTTCCGTGGTGTGGAGCACAGGCTTCAGTAGCTGTGGCACCCTGGCTAGGTGCTCCTAGGCGTGAGGGATCTGCCCAGACCAGGGATCAAACCCACGTCTGCTGCATTGGCAGGCAGATTCTTTATCACTGAGTCACCAGGGAAGCCCTAGCTCTGTGTTTTTGTTATGTGTTCTCAGGCAAGTTACCCTTTCTGATCCAGTTTTCTCCTCTGTAAAAAGGGAAAGGTAACGTCTTACTAAGATTGCTGTCAGGATTAAATGGAATTATGCATATGAAATTCTTAACGTGATGCTGGGCACATAACAGGAGCTTAGTAGATATTAGCTGTTATTATTCCGTAACATTAATATCTGTAATGGCAGAGATTGTGTCTTATTCATTATGTATTTTCATTATAGAGTAAGTCCTCAGTAAAATATGTTGAATGCGTGAAAGCAGGACAGAAAAAAAGGCCATGATTCATTCCCATTTATGGGATCCCGTCGGAAGAAATAGAAGCCAAGTTTACTTTAATACCTTCTGTTGCTCTGTTGATCCCAGTGCTTGCCGGGCAGAAGTAACCCTGTGATCTTTAGGTCTCTTGTTAATTATAGATAAAGTTAGAATTTTTTTTTTTTGAAGAGGTTAAGAAAAGTCTGACAACTCTGTTAATTTGAGCAAAAGGTTTCCTTTTTCATCTGTGAAATGGAAGGGCTGAACTTGAACTTTGCTTTCTAACTTTAAGATTTTATTTTTCTGAGTTCGAATTTAATATGAAAGGGTTAAAAAAAGGAGTTCCTTAATGTGACCCTTAAGTTCCTTAATATCATCTGCAGGTTATTTTGGAGAATCATTTATCTGCCATTGTAGGTTATTCTATCAGATAGAAACCCAGAGTTACCCTTAGGTTCCTTTTTAAAAAAACAGTTTTCTTGAGATATAATCCACATGTCATACATTCAATCATTTTAAAGTGTACAATTAAATGGTTTTAGTGTATTCACAGAGAACATGCAATCATTACCCTGTTAATTTTAGAGCATTTTTTATCACCTTAGAAAGAAAGCTATATCAGCCATCACCAGTCTCTTCCTTAGCACCCTCCCTCCCATCCCTAGTTCAGTTCAGTTCAGTCACTCAGTCGTGTCCAACTCTTTGCGACCCCATGAATCACAGCACGCCAGGCCTTCCTGTCCATCACCAACTCCCAGAGTTTACTCAAACTCATGCCCATCGAGTCGGTGATGCCATCCAGCCATCTCATCCTCTGTCGTCCCCATCTTCTTCTGCCCCCAATCCCTCCCAGCATCAGGGTCTTTTCCAATGAGTCAGCTCTTCGCATGAGGTGGCCAAAGTACTGGAGTTTCAGCTTCAGCATCAGTCCTTCCAGTGAGCACCCAGGACTGATCTCCTTCAGGATGGACTGGTTGGATCTCCTTGCAGTCCAAGGGACTCTCAAGAGTCTTCTCCAACACCACAGTTCAAAAGCATCAATTTTTCGGTGCTCAGCTTTCTTCACAGTCCAACTCTCACATCCATACATGACCACTGGAAAAACCATAGCTTTGACCAGACGGACCTTTGTTGGCAAAGTAATGTCTCTGCTCTTTAATATGCTATCTAGGTTGGTCATAACTTTCCTTCCAAGGAGTAAGCGTCTTTTAATTTCATGGCTGCAGTCACCATCCACAGTGATTTTGGAGCCCCCCAAAATGAAGTCTGACACTGTTTCCACTGTCTGCCCATCTATTTCCCATGAGGTGATGGGACCAGATGCCGTGATCTTAGTTTTCTGAATGTTAAGATTTAAGCCAACTTTTTCACTCTCCTCTTTTACTTTCATCACTCCCTAAGTAACCACTAATTTACTGTCTCTGTAAATATCCCTATTCAGGACTTTCATATGAATGGGATCATAAAATTTGTGATCTTTTGTGACTGATTACTTCTCCTCAGTGTACTGTTTTTAAGTTTATCCATATTGCAGCATGTATCAGTACTTCATTTCTCTCCCCCTCCCAGGTTCTTTTTATCAGTAAGACTGTGTGTTCTTCCTTTATCCCTTCATGTGGCTGGGGGAGCAGTTGCCTCCTCACATCTCATTCAGCTTACGTTTATTGACTACTGCTGTGTACTAGACACCACCTTAGGCGTGTACTGCTTCACGCAGTCCACTCTGCATTTGTCATCAGCATGTCACACATGAGAGCACCGAGGTTTTCTTTTTTGTTTTTACTCTATGTATGCGTGTGTGTGTGTGTGTGTGTGTGTGTATTTAAAGATTTATTTATTTATTTTTGGCTACGCTGGGTCTCCCTTGCTGCGTGGGCTTTCTCTAGTGTGGCAAGTGGGGCTAGTCTTGGTTGCGGTGTGTGGGCTTATTGCGATGGCTTCTCTCATGGAGCTCTAGGCACACGGGCTTCAGTGGTTGTGGCTCTGGGGCTCTAGAGGGCAGGCCCAGTGGTTGTGGTACGCCGGCTTAGTTGCTCCATGGCGTGTGGAATCTTCCCAGGCCAGGGATCGAACCCGTGTCCCTTGCATTGCAAGGCAATTTCTTAACCACTGGATCACCAGGGAAGCCCTGAGATATGTTTTATAACTTATGGATTTATTAATGCCAGAAAGTTCAGTTACTCTAATTGTTTTGTTTCCTGGTCCTGAAAGATAGCTCTCTTCCCCTTACAAGCTCTTCCAAATTGAGATATTTCTTTACCGTGTGTCTGCAAAGTTTCTGAAGTCCACTTCAGGGATCGAGATATTGGTACACCTACTCACTCAGAGGAGAAAAGGAACGGCGAGGTTTCTTTTGAAATTTAACTCAAGGTTCATACAGATTGTAACTGTTTTACTGGTTGGATGAGAAGACAGACACGATGGGTATATCTGGATGCCCAGTTTGGGCCTTCGTTGTGGTTTGCTTCCCTGCCATCCCCTTCCTCTATCTTCACAGACAAGAGAGTTCTTGACTGTATTTGCTCTGGGAAAGTGGGCCAGGGTGTTGTGTTCAAAGTTTAAGGACTTTAAATGCTATATGACGTGGAGATGGAGATACTTTCCTTCTCGCTGTGTGGTGCCCTGCTCGAGACAGCCTGTTCGTGGAAAGGTTTGTTCACAGGCCCAGATACACTTGAAACTTGACCAATTTCCTTTTTTCCTGCAGGGATTAAGGCCTGTTGTTTCCACAGAAGCACCGCCTATCATATTTGCCACACCAACTAAACTGAGCTCCAGTTCTATTGCATATGATTATGCTGGGAAAAACACAGTTCCAGAGCTGCAGAAGTTTTTCCAGGTCAGAGAAGACACTCCTAAGAACAGTGAAGGGTGTGAAATGATAGGCTTAAAAAACCCTTTGAAACTGAGTCTCAGTCTAATTTGCTACTCACTCGCCTGTTTTCCCTTAAATAAAATTCTCTGTATTTTAGTTTGAGCCATTAAGTGGTAGAACTTTGTGTAGAAAGAAACTGATAAAAGAAGGGAGGATGAGTAATTTTCCCATTAATATTTAAGGGTGTAAAGATTTTTAAATTGCATATGTAGCTGTTGATCATCCACTGGATGGAGGAAGCAATAACATATATAATGTATAATAGCATTGTGAATTATCCAGTATATCTTTGGCTTTGTGACACATGCAGTGACTTTAGGCAATGTTTTCTTTTAATAGTTTTTTGCTTGCTTGATACTAAAATTCACCGAACTGTTGGTAGAAGTGGAGAAGTCTCTCTTGGGTTTGCTGATTAGCAGAGAGAAGCTAGGATTGGATTTTAAAATATTATTAATGTTAATCTACATGCATTTAATTGAGAGGTCAGTGACTCGACTGTATTTCAGGCATGTGGGAGTGGCAGTAGCTGTTACTGCTGTCGCTGGAAGGTAGCTTCCTCTTCCTCAAAAATATGTTCAGATTTAGGACCAGCTTGAGAACTTTTGATCATTTTATTCTTTTTTTATCTGAGAAGTAAGACTTGGGCATTTGGGGTCTTGAGTTGGGATGGGGAGGGATTTTTGAGACTGTGCAAAACAATGGATTAAATATCTTATGGAGTTTTGCTATTAAATAGGGGTTTAGCAGTTTTACAGAAGGCAGTTGAATACAAAATGGCCTTGAACCGATTAATTGACCAGGTGTGCTCAGACTGCATCCACTAATGATCAGAAGTCAGATTAAATGTAAAGCATCTCTTATGCTTGCAAGCCTTTAATTGGCTGCTGATTACCTTTGCCTTAAAAGAGTCACCAGTGCTCCTTCTGTGATTAAGCAGTATGTGATAAATTCCTTAGAAATTTGGAATTTGTTGCATGCTTGTTTCTGAGACTGCATTTTGGAGAATGATTTTTGACTTACAGACTGCATTTGACTTCAGCTGCATTTGTAAGAAAATATACCAAGTGTTTTAGTTCACATTCTAGTAGATTTGGGCCTTTTCCACTGCAGCAGGTTGGTGGGTTAATTATAAAGTAGAGGCCTTTGTTCTATACCAGCCTAAATTGTGAAAATCTTTTTCTTATCAACTATGTCCTTGATAATCCTCTCTTTCTAGAAATCTGACGGTGTGCCTATCCACCTGAAACGAGGCCGGCCTGACCAAATGCTGTACCGGACCACCGTGGCGCTGACAGTGGGAGGGACCATCTACTGCCTGATCGCCCTCTACATGGCCTCACGGCCCAGAAACAAATGAGTAGGCTGCGGAGGACTGGTGTGCTTGTCGGCATAAATCCTTTGAATTTTCATTTTTCATTATTTCTGTAATTTTTTTGTTTTTTACTTGAATGTCCCACTTAACATTCTTAAAGAAGAGCAGAAAGATATCAAGACAATATTTTGGTTTGTTACGAAAATGCACGTGGCCTGCCAGAGCTCATTCAGCAGTTAAAACTATTGTTTAAAGAAATGACGTTGCTCCCTGCATTTGGGCTCCTAATTTCCCTGGAGCTTCTGAATGAAGGCTGCACACAGGCTCATTAGCGGCCATCTGTGTTGAGGTCCTTGGGGACTTATGGTGGCATATTGAACATGGGGTGGAGCAGCCTTTCTGGATTAGGATGTGACTGAGGAAGGAAGATAGAAGCTCAGGCCAGGCACATGAAAATGTTAGCCACTTTGGGGACTTTTCTATCTTGCAGTTCAATGTTAATAGGAATTATTTGCAGCCTGCTTCCATTCGTCGGGCAGTTTGTTTCAAAGGGTTATTTGCGTCATCTCAGATCTTCAGTGAAATTTTATGTGTAATTGTTATGTATTTATTCCACCATGGGAACAGAGAACACCTGTTTAGTGTTGCACTTTAGACCAATGTCTGTTTTATTAATACAGCTGTGACACAGATTCTCCTTTACCTTTTAAAAATGTTATGGCTTTGAATTGTGATTTATTTTAATTGTGGAATAAATACATGAATGAAAAAAATCTCAAGTTTGAAGTCCTTTTAAATAAGTTTTCAAAGTACTTTCAGAAAAACATCAGAGGCATCTCATACCCGAGTCTAATTTCTTTCTTTTTAATTAGACACCAGATAATCTTTACAAAATGGTTCCTCAAAGTCAAGTAACAGGAGGCAAATGGCACGTTGATGTTTACCATATGGTTCCTTACAAGAAGCTGCCTGACTCTTGTGAAATGTGCGTGTAACACACAGTTCATTTAGACAGTAATTTCCTGTGCTGTCACAATTGGTAGACTTCACATGCTCTATATTAATGCTGGAAAAGGTGGAATTTTATTACTGTAAAGTCGTGGTCTGTCTTTTGCCATAGCAAAGAACAGTGACCTCTTACCGAAGATAAAATGCGGCTTATAAAAACACTCAATATTATTCTCACAGGCTAGGAAACTCTTACTTGTCTATACAAGTCTAAACTTCCCTGATATTTCCTTGAAGTTTCTATTTTGAAATATTTCAGACTACAGAAAGACTGTAAGAACGGTACAACATCCACCTGTCTGTGCACGTCTTCCCTTGGATCAGCAGTTACCAATATATGTCCCTTTGCTTTTTCTTGCTGTCCCAGCACAGGCACACACATATTTGGTTTTTGCTGAATCGTTTAAGATAAAGCTATGGAATTGTAATTCAGCCATAAATACTTTAGGCAGTATCTCCTAAGAATGAGGACATTTCGTTATCATGTCCCTTTAGTCTCCTTTTATGCAGAACAGTCCTCACTGTCCTTCATGATACTGACCACTTTGAAGAGTTCAGGGCAGTATTTAGTACAACATCCTTCAATTTGGACTTACCTTACTGTCTCCTCATGATTGGATTCAGGCTAAGCAGTTTTGTCAGGAATTTTTCCCATATGGTGTGATGTCATTGTATCAAGTGGTGCTTGATACCAGTTTGTCCCATTATTGGAGATTTGAAGTTGGTTAACTTAATTAGGGCTCCCCTGGTGGCTCAGATGGTAAGGAATCTGCCTGCAATGCCGGAGACCTGGTTTTCATCCCTGGGTTAGGAAAATCCCCTGGAGTAGGGCATAGCAACCCACTCCAGTATTCTTGCTAGAGAGTCCCGGTGGACTGTAGCCTGCCAGGCTCTTCTGTCCATGGGGATGCAAAAAGTCTTAATTAAGATGTTACAGATACCCTTTCTCCTTTTTAATTGATAAGTAGATGATATTTGAGGCCGGGAATATCATGAGGTCAATGGTTTTTACACTCAGTGTTGGTGTTCCATGATGGTTTCTTGACTGAATCATGTATTACTAAGGTGGGTGTGATTTCCTGAGTTCATTGTTGATGTGTTTCAGTGAAGAGGAGTACTCCTCTTTTAAGAGGTTTTAGTGTAATTTTCTCATTGAGTGTAATAACCAGGTATTCCGTTATTTATCTCATGCTCAGCTTTGGCCCACATTTGGCTTTTCTGTCCCCCTGACAGGCCTTTCAGTCTGGGCAGTTTCTTTCTGATACACAGAGTACTGTCTGTTTATCTTGTGTTGATATTTTTCTACCCAGTTTCTTCTGTTTACTTTCAGGTATGTTCTATTCATGCATATTGGTGCGTTTTCCTTCTCTGCCTGTTTTATTTTTGCCTCACCTATAGTGGTAGGTACTATACATTCCTATTTATTACTCAGTTTGGAAATTGTTCTCTATCTCGTTTTTCTGCATTGTATTCCATTTTTTGCGTATGCCATACTTTTAACTAGTTTCCTTTTGATGGCTATTTAGTCTTAAATGTTTTGCTTTTACAAACGTTGCCTTAAATGTATAATCTTTACATGTCATTTTACACACTGCTGAATGTATTTGTAGTATAATTTCTTTAAGTGAGACTTTTCAGGCAAAGAGAATGTGCATCTCTGACTTTGATAGCTATTTGTCACAAGAGATAGTGCTGACGTCCAATCCTATTCATCCAGGGGTGCCTATTCCTCCTCCCTGTTGTTAGCTGTGTGCATTATCAGACTTTTTCATCTTTGCCAATCTGGTAAGTGATAAAATTTCTTTGGTTTAAATTGTTTTTCCATTGTAATTAGTGATACTGAATATCTTTCTTTAATTTAAAACTTATATTTAAAACATTTAAAATCTTTTCATTTACAAAGGTAAGTTATATTTCCTTTTTTTTTGTGAACTATCTAATCATTGACCTGCTTATATCCAGGTGCTTTGTGATAATGCTATAAATATTGGTCCATCAGACTGAATTCCTCAGAAACAGACTCTGCTGACTTTTGTGTGAGCCACACTTCTTCTAATTGCAAGATCCGAGATTCATTAAAATCAGCCAGGGCAGAAAGGGGGATTTTCCAGAACTAGAGTGGATTGGGCTACAAGACCTATCTTTGGGACCATGGTGGTTATCTTTTCTGTTATTCTCTTGGCCGTGCAGCTGTTTAGCTGTTTCTGTGGATCAGCTTTATCTCTGTTTCTTGTTGCACGTGGTAGGAAATGGTTGTCTAGCCCCAAATTCAGATGTCCCCCACTCGACCAGTCCACTGTTTGGTACCAGTCCGTCGGGGGAGATGCAGTGAAGGAGCTCACGGCGGCCTGTTCGTGGGTCTCCACTGAAGGCTCTGAGCCTTTCACTGTGTTCTCAGGATTATTCCTGCTGAGCCCAGTACTTTGAACCCTGGCCAGGTTGGACTGTTTACTCAGAGGGGGACCATCCTCCTTGTCGTTGTTGTCGGGATGAGATGCTTTTGGCAGAGGGACAGTTACTCCTGACTTCTTCCAGGCTATGTGATTAGTCTTCACAACAGGGGTCTGAACTCAGATAGCCCTGGGGGTATTCCTAGGGATGCCATAGGGTAGCCAGGCAAGGATAGTTCTAAGGGAATCAGCATTTTAGGTCAACTTCCATATACTTTTAAAGTTGCACGCCTAGCAAAGAGGTCCCTTATAGTCATTTCCATTCTGCAAAAGGAAAGCAAACTATTACCCATTCTGGAGAGGACCATGGTATATTGCCCTGCTATCTGGGGTGCCGTGGAGTGAGTGAGTGACTGGGTGAAAGTCACTCAGTTGTGTCTGACTCTTTGCAACCCCATGGGTTATACAGTCCATGGAATTCTCTAGGCCAGATTACTGGAGTGGGTAGCCTTTCCCATCTTCCCAACCCAGGGATCGAACCCAGGCCAGGTCTCCTGCAATGCAGGTGGATTCTTTACCAGCTGAGCCATAGGGAAGCCCAAGAATACTGGAGAGGGTAACCTGTCCCTTCTCCAGAGGATCTTCCCGACCCAGGAATTTAACTGGGATTTCCTGCATTGCAGGCAGATTCTTTACCAACTAAGCTATCGGGGAAGCCCTGAGGTGCCGTGGAGATAATTCTAAATATAAGTGTTGAGAATATGAGTCTAATGACTCAGACTATGAGTCTGATGTTGAGAATATGAGTCCTTTGTAAAGGAACAAATCCTTTTACAGGTTACAAGTTTTCCAAGTCTGTTTTTTTTTTTTCCCCGAGTCTGTTTTTAACAAAATTGAAGGAGGAACCAATTGAGTTGTTGGTTGATCATTAAAAATAATTGTGATAATAGATCACTGCATGACTTTGATGTGTAACTCAGGAGTTCACGGAATTCAGAGATGTTCCTATTACCAAACTTACATCACCATCTATTTGTGAAAACAAGGTTTCTCAGGGCTTAATATATGTAAAAATGAAAAACAGGAATGGAATTGGTACTGAAATCTTCTTAACAATAACCAGGATTCATCCCTGGAACCATGAGCCTTCTCTCTTCCTCTAATTGGGATTTTTGTGTGAAATTTTGCTCATATTTAATAATCAGTATTTATGTTCTTTTGTTTTGAAATATGTGCTAGCAGCAATCATAATCATCCAATCCAGAATAAAATGTTTTTTTTTTTAAACACTTAGAGCTTATGGTTAAAGGAAATTTAATATTTTATAGGGAATTATAAGTATAGTCAATAAGAGACTTTCAAGCCTGAAAAGATGTTACATTGGGCTTCCCAGGTGGCACCTAGTGGTAAAGAACCTGTCTGCCAGTGCAGGAGACACAAGAGAAGCGGGTTCAATCCCTGGGTTGGGAAAAATCCCCTGGAGGAGGGCATGGCAGAATTCCATGGACAGAGGATCCTGGAAGACTTTAGTCCATGGGGTTGTGAAGAGTTGGACATGACCAAAGCAACTTAGCATAGCACAGGCTAAAATTTGGGGGGTAGAATTCTAGATGGAGTAGAGTGATGGAGCTACAAATTCAAGAAATT